TACTTTATTAAGTTTATTAATATCAAAAGTTAACAGTCTGCTTTATTAAGTTTATTAATATCAAAAGTTAACAGTCTGCTTTATTAAGTTTATTAATATCAAAAGTTAACAGTCTGCTTTATTAAGTTTATTAATATCAAAAGTTAACAGTCTGCTTTATTAAGTTTATTAACATCAAAAGTTAACAGTGCTTTATTAAGTTTATTAATATCAAAAGTTAACAGTCTACTTTATTAAGTTTATTAACATCAAAAGTTAACAGTGCTTTATTAAGTTTATTAATATCAAAAGTTAACAGTCTGCTTTATTAAGTTTATTAATATCAAAAGTTAACAGTCTGCTTTATTAAGTTTATTAATATCAAAAGTTAACAGTCTACTTTATTAAGTTTATTAATATCAAAAGTTAACAGTCTACTTTATTAAGTTTATTAATATCAAAAGTTCAGTAGAATTATCTAAAAATAACCAAGACTGAAATCACTGACACAGAAAAATGAATTCTTCTACACAGCTGTTAGCTTCAAACAGTAATGATGTAATCATTATTTAAGCATACTAGCTGAAAATATGAAAACAGTTTTTATTAAAGCAGTTTATACCGTGTATCTTGTTAGCATTAACTGTAGCAATATTTAAAACTTGTTTGTAAATATATCACTCCTTACCTCTCACTACGGATAACTTTTTTACTAACATCTACATACTCAAAGATAGGTTTTCTCTGCAGAATGAAAGCTGCATGATGAAATGTTCTAGTTAAAAGGCCACTTTCCCTAATAACAAGAAAATCAGTAAATTAGATTAATTAAACTAAACAAACATATTTTGTTTAAGCAAAAACCTGCACAATGAGCTATACGTGTTATGTCCACAGCAGGAAATAAAATCCAGATTGAAGCATTACAAGCCCTCAAGCTGACCACGGAGCTACTGGGGGAGGAAGCAAATGTATTAATTTACTTTTCTTGTTTCTTGTATTATTTTTCTATCCTTTTAGTGCAATCTCCCTATAAATATCCCTTTGCAACAATATTTGTGTTTGCTTTTCCATGTTATTATTATTTAACAAACAATATTTGTGTATGCTTCTACATGCTATTGTTATTGAACAAAAATACACAAATCTTTCTCTCAGTTATGGCTAACCAAAAACTGATGGACAGTATCACCTAAATTTTAAAACATTCAGAAAAGTATCAATACTGCCACATCTACATCATTAGATGTTAAGCCTCTTTACTGTAATCAAAGTACTTTTTTTTAAACATATTCACTGCTGTTTAAAAAAAAAGTATTTGTATTATTATGTAAGAGGTTCAGATATAACCATTTCACATTCTTTGATTGGTAAAGTTCACAAAAAATGTTTAATTAAAAACAAAAGATTTATAATGTTTTATATAATCCATTATCTTTTTTTCATTAGCCCTCAATTGTATAGAGTCATGTGTTATTAAATGTTACTATTTAATTTATAAATTATCTCCCCCTCAAAAAAATCTAAAAATGCCAGTATTTCAAATTGAAATATCTATACAAAAAAAAAAAGAATATTTTTCTCCAATACTTTTTGTATAACAATAGAATAAAACAGTTAAACTGAAGCAGGTATTATCAACTTTTGCATCTCAAGCCCCAGTTAATCACTTGGTACAATAGTAAAGCACCACACATGCAGTTGATAGCTCATTAGTATAAGGCAATGTTGTCCCAGTTCTTGGCAGTCCATAGCTGCAAGTCTCACAGTCCACCAGTTGAGAAACGTTGCTATAAAGTAAGTTACAATTAAGTTCAGCTAGGTTTACGCGTGTCTGTAATTAGGTTAATTCTGAGACAGTTTCAAAATCTATAAAGACTGCTTACCTATTCTGTGTTGGCACACAAAGTATGTTGGTAATGCCTAATGTCACTGCTGGGTTGTCGATAAACTTCATCTGTTAAAGAATAAAAGTAAATATGGACTATGTGAGCACCAGAAATTTATCTTCCTATACTCTGACATAAAACATGACTTTGAATACACACCCAAAAAAATATTACTCAAAATTAGAATTTTTTGTAGCACACACACTTTAAACTTTAAAGCATTTTTGAAGCACGTTAACTTCCAGTCTGAATTAGAGTTTGACGATTATTAGTACTTGATAATTTGCTATATTTGAATAATCATTTATTCTAACATGAAATCAATCTTTTTATTTTAAGCTTTTTTAAAAGTAATTTTTAACTACCCTTCATTGAATATGATAAACACTTCTGGTGGTTGACATTTGTAGAAAGTATTTTTGGCTGATAAATTTTTTTTTGGCAAAAACAAGTTTTAGTTTAAAGACAACCTGAACATTTTGTTACTTGTAGAGATAAAGACGAGGATGCCATTTTGTTTTTAAAATATGAAGTAACCTCTCATTGATCTTTAATGAAAACAAATTTTACAATCACTGATAACAGTAATATATTTTTTATTTTTAACCTAGGACAACTGCAACTAGAAATAACTAAGTAGCCAGTTAGCTAATTTATTTATGTATGTTGTTTGAATAAGATAAACATAAGATATTCAATAACTAAAGACTTAAGTTGTCAGAATATTTTTCTGTCACTTACCATACTCACTAAATCTAACTAAGCTTATCTGATTTTCTTTGATCTGATGAACATAATATAAATCTCTCAAGTTTGCAACCATTGCAACTCAAAAAACGATCATATACCTACTAAAAACACTAATTCCAAACAAAGAACCAAATAACAAAAAAAAGCAAAATCAAAGAAGGCAACTTAATTGAATAAAATCACCCTAGTCTAAGCCAGCAATCTTGTGTGCCAAGATAACTTTTATAAGTCGTAAAGCAATCTCCAGTGTATATATTCCTGTGTCTAGGTAAACTACTTGTACCCAATGATGGCACAACCTTGTTGAAATGTTGTACATTTGTTAATGTATTAAACCTGTGTTAAAGGTGTTCTTTTTATACATTTAAGCTGTTTCTAAACTTCTTAAGCTTATCTGATGTCTTTGTCAAATAAAATTCCTGTAGCTTCCAAACAGATATTTCATACACAAACACTTTCATGAAATGAATATTAAAAGAAACTATATATATACACACATATATGAAAGTTCTGTTGTTTGATCTTCAAAACTTTCCATTAAATGCCTTTAGTCAATACAACAAGAGCTCCAACTACACCTTTCTCACGAAACCACAAGCTACTGCTGAAACCACTTTACTTACTCTACTATGACATTAAAACATCTAATTTTTGCCCTATCCAAACATATTTAAACTTTCTTTACAGTCATTTCCTAGAGAAACAGCTTCTCAGAACTGTGAAGAAATGAAAACTTAGGTTTTAAAATTTTTTCTTTACTAAATAAATATTAAAAAATGACAATATATTAATTCTAAAAGATTTTTGAGTTAAAGTTCTTGAAATAACAGTTATAATTAACAAACAAAACGAAATTAAGAATTTGTACCAAAAAAGTTAACTTGGCAAAAGTTATAATGAAGCAACATGATAAAGTCAGAGGAAACCTTGTCTTGAGGTATGATAAAGTCAGAGGAAACCTTGTCTTGAGGTATGATAAAGTAAGAGGAAACCCTGTATTGAGGTATGATAAAGTAAGAGGAAACCCTGTATTGAGGTATGATAAAGTCAGAGGAAACCCCGTCTTGAGGTATGATAAAGTCAGAGGAAACCCCCATCTTGAG